GGCTGCTGCCTAGAGAGCCAGAAATAGCGATTCTGATTTACCCCGCCAGGTAACTAAAATTGACTAAAAGCACTAGCGACACCCATAACGGTTTTTACGGTACCACGCTCTCTTAAGTACAGTGGAGAAAGCCACCTCAGGAACTGGCTCCACTGTGACCAGAGGGCAGAAAAGCACTTTTTGATGGTAGCATCCGGGTCACCTCCCCGAGGCTGAGCGGTCGCGTTTCCTGACAAATGCTCTGCGTGATCTACTGGCCCTTCTCGCAGCGCATGCCGACGCTAGCGCTGCGCTGCGCCTGTGGGCCGGAGACTTCGAATCATGCCGAAAATGCAGTATTGGCCGCGAGCCCGAATCTGCCTCCTGACGTGCTGCAAGATGGATAGCCTCCATCGACCAGGAAAGGGGTGCTGGAACCGTTTGTACCATGAGGGGCACGATACTTGTACGTAGGCGGATTTTCCTGACGAGGAACGTGCTGCATACGTGTCCTACCGCCTGAAAGCCACTGCCGACACTGGCGGGCCAGCACTCTCTTGTCCGCTGACAGGCTTGCAGGCCTATGCGCGCACCGCCACACCTGCTAGGCCCAGCTCCATCAGCGTAACGGCATGGACGCGACCAAGGCAGTGCATAACGAGCCGATAGCTGCTGAGGTACGGCCTTGGACAAAATGGCTACATGAACGAAGTGCATTGTTTTGGTAATGAGTTATCTGAGGCCAACGGCAGAGGTTTCGCGTTATTCCATCGCAGCCAAAACATGGCGCTGCAAAGATTCTGGCATTGACGAGCCGCATGTACTGTACAGTACCATACTGGAGGGAGACTTGGGATCGCTGGTCCACTCGCATTGGCTCATAAGTGCCTTTTTCGCCTTTGAGTCGCCACTTTCTGCCAAAATTCACCCACACTGTCTTCGTCAAGTGGCTGGCGCTGGCAAGTATAAGAAGCATTCTTCTGCGCCTGGACGGTGACATGCTGCTGCATTCGTGGAGATGAGCGCTTCCAAAGAGTCGGTGAGGGTCCGAAAAAGAATTCGTGGCCTTCCTAGGGAATTACAGTGGATAATCGTAGAGCAGGATCCCCTTCCTTATATTCGCGCACTACATTCATATGAGGACGAGTACTACCAGGAGCAGGTCTCACGCGCTTTGCAGACCTACCTGTGGAGAAGAGTTCTCGGGATACAATTTGAAGGGTTACAAAATGAGCCTGGAACAGGCGGCGTGTTTTTGATTGGGCACGAATTAGGGCGTCTCCGCGGCTATCTTATGCGCAAGGTGAAGCAGCGGTTCCCCTGCAATCTTGTTCTAGCTTGGCCGATCGATGGATTTAGACTTCGATCGAACAAGGTTGAGCAGGGTTTTAGCGATGAGAGCGATTCTGATGATGAGAACGTTCGCCTCCCAATGACGGTTTCACGGGTACAAGAACCGCGAATCGATTTACTTCTTACTAAGGCGCTCTCGTTTGAGGTAGATTACTTATCGAAATACTTTGAAAAGGATTCGTCAGGGGTTGTCAAAACTTACGTTGCCTATCTACATTCGACTCAATACGCAATCGATCAAGTAGAAGTCAATATGGAGATAGTTGAGAGGTCTGACCCTACTATGTATTGGCACGAGTATAAATATACCTTGCGTGTCCGGGGGGTAACAGTTTCTATGAAGCAGCGGAACCACATTAGCACTCAAAAGGCGCCCAGGGCTGCACCATTCTGAGCTCTATCAGCTGTATGAATTTGTAATGCGACAAGTCTTTAGCATAGACCTTTCACCAAAGTACCCTTCGCCAACATTAAAGGCCGCTTCTCACGGCGGGCTGATGGAAATTGATGCTGTGCAAACCATGGGGTGATTTTTTGTTCAATGGGGAATGGCACAGGCATTGGTACAGCTTGACCGTCAGAATCCAGATCCAGGCCAAGAGCTGCGCTTCTCTGAGACAGTAGTCCTCACGTTTGGAGGGCTTGATAGAAAGAATGTGCATGCCGTTCGGTCAGGAACAGATCAAGCAGATCTGGTCAGCTTACGCCAAAATTCGAAGCTGATATGTGTGCCCAGATGCCCTCTTTGGCATTACTGCCATCATAGCCTTGTCCATCTTGACCCTAATCGTAATTTCTCGGGATTCAACTGTCCACCATATGCTCGGTACTCTTTAGCTTCTGGTGCCCAAAGCGACACAGCCAACGAGCAAAACAGTATCTTAGCTACGATTCCCTCGCCGCCCGACGTGGCTCCAGCTCCGGTCCGGCCACAAGCGCCCATATCAGTCGATGAACCTGCTTCTGTTCAATTTTCGTTCGCCTCACCTGTTGCCGCTGAAATTTCGCCTTCGCGCTCTTCCAATTCCAGTTGTGCACCTGTCGAGCAGCGATTAAATCAACGTCTGGATGTCGAATATAGTTTTGCGAAGCCACAAAACAGCGACCAAGATGTCGTTCATCACGAGGTACCACCCTCACAGTCACGCTTCAACGGTGTTCGGGATGAGCGCAGGAAGCGGCAGCGTGAATTTAGTCATCGGACCAAGACAGGTTGCCTGACTTGCCGCCGAAGGAAGAAAAAGTGTGACGAGGCCAAGCCGGAATGTAGGCCCGAGGATCACCCCCCCTGACATCTTCAGTCACTAACATGTTGATAGGCGGCAACTGCATCAAAGGAAACCACGTTTGCGACGAATATGCCCCACTTCCAAAAATTTACGCGTCTTGGGCAGATTCACATTGTACTCCGATATCAAACGTTACTCAGCCACCCCATTCTAGGGCGCCTGGTGCCGACGGCTACCAGCGCAACCATGACCACCGTCCAGTGATGGCACAGCCTACGGATATGCGCGTTGAGTCATCCAAACAGTGACACACTCAGAAAGAAGAGATGCTCCAAGGAGGCTATTTATTTCTACTAGTATGATCAGGAGCTAAGTTCAGAGCGAGACCGTGCCGCCACGGCTTGCTGGCGATTCAACAAGTTGACGTGTCCGCCAACCAACGGTGTCTCTACCGTGGAGCGCGGCCGTCTGTTTTTCGAGATTATCCAGCCAACTGAGTCATTTCTCTCCCCCAATATTGGCTGTGTTGGGCTTCAAGTCGCCGTTGAGACACCTTTTACTTGTTCATACGGCTACAATATCAGCATCGGCAACAATGTCTCTATAGGAAGAGCCTGCACCATGGATGATGCGGGCAAGATTCAAGTTGGGGACAATTGCGTCATTGGGCCTAATGTCAGCATGTACACCGTCGAGGCCTCTACCGATGTTAAGCACCTTCGGGACGGCCGCAGACCCCAAGTTGCCAAGGGTATCACCATTCATTCAGACTGCTGGATTGATGGTAGCGTTGTGATCACGCCTGGCAGAGTCATCGGAAAGGGTTCCATAATAAGCGCGGGCTCAGTTGTAACACAGGTGCGCTTTTCAGACTCTTTCCATCTCGGAGGAGGAATTATTCTTACTCTTTCTCCAGGACGTGCCTCCGTTTACCGTTGTTGTTGGCAACCCTGCAAGCGTTTTGTGCTTCCTTGAGGTGCTAATATAGCACAAGACAGGCTTTCAGCAGCGCCGGCAGCGCGCACAGTATGGCAAAAAAGAAAGAGGGGAAGGGGGGGTTCTAGGAGTAAGGAGTCAGCAGTCGTGGATAAGGTGCGCTTTAAGTTTGAGTAAAGCACTTGATTTTCAACTAAATTGAGTCAGGATCATTGCGACTGATCTTAGGCTGCGGTAGGCGAAGGACAGACTATTCAATAACTCGAAGTGAACCCGAAATTTCCAAAAAGGTGTCGACGCCTGACTGAACCGCGTATTCATGAGTTCAGTTGTAGCCTGTCATCTTGTGGAAATTAATGCACAATGCAAAGCTCGTCCATCGATCTGTATGACACTCGTCTCTCGCAAGACTCTGTTTATAAACCTCTTCCGCTTCCTCGTATTTGTCCTGCTGTTCGCAGATGGAGCCCAAAGCTTCGACGATCGTGCAAGACGTGGCGTGCTTCAGCCCCGCAACCAAGCGTGCGCTGTCCCACGCTTTTCGGTACATCGCCTCGGCCTCCGCCAGCCTGTTCTGATTGTGGAGAAGGTGGCCGAGATTGAACAAGTTAGCATAAGTCGCATCATCATCGCCGCGCACAGAAAGCTCTTCCGCGGCGTCCATGAAGCTCATCTCTGCCTCGGCAACTCGTCCTTGCCGTGCGTACACCGTCCCCAAACATGTCAGCGCACCAGGCGCATAGTCAGAAGCAGCTTCTCTGAGGCCTTTGTAAGCTTCTTGGATGAGATTCTCGGCGTCTTTGAGCCTCTGTTGGTCTTGAAGTAGAACTCCTAAGCCAAGTTTGAGGCTCAAAGCCTCAATGGAGTCCTGTCTGTGTAACTCTGCCAAGCCTTGCAACGCGAAATTATACGCTCTTTTCGCTTCTTCGACAACACCGCGAGCAGAGCTGAGAGCCGCAAGATGCGTGAAAGCTGTAATGGTCGTGGGATCAGAGTGGCCGACAATATCCTTGAAACCGTAGGCCGCCACGTGGTACATGCGCATCGCATCGGACAGCTTTCCACGATCTTGGTAGATACCTGCGAGGTTGAATGCGGCTGTCAGAGTTCTCACATCCTTCTTCTCGACTTGTCTTTTGAACCCGTCTAAGGCGCGAACAAACATTGTTTCCGCTTCTTTCAGCTTCCGGCGTTTTGCATAGACGGTTCCGAGCGCATTGATGATACATAGCACCGCCACTGAGTCTGGCCCATGCTCCGGGTCAGCATCATCGACGAGAGTCCTGTACAGCGCCTCGGCTTGCTCATAGTGACCCTTGCCGCACAGCATTTGGCCATACTCTTGCATCGCTGTGATGGTCCTCCAGTGTTTGTGCCCAAAAATTCGACGAAACTTGCCGATCACAACGGAATGGAGCTCCTCGACTGCGGCATCATTTAGATTATCCCGATGAAAGGCCATCTGATCATGAACAAACCTCAGAAAAAGACTGTGGTCTGTTCGCTCCGCTTCGTCAAATTCTTCGATAGCTTGGGCGCGAATACCGATCACTGTCTCTGCTTGCCCGTCTCTTTCTAGCAGAGAAATATATCTCGAGTAGATTGCATAACGTGAGGCGCACTGACTAGCGCCGTCGATCCGCTTACCTGGCCGATGCGAACGCATCCTGTACGGTTGCTCTCTTGATCTCAACAACTGTTCGAGAACGACTCAAGCTTAGGTTTTAAGTCCCAGTTATTTTACTAAGTGAGCTTTCTTATGGTCACTTTTTTCTCAAGTGCTAGGAGGCGATGGTAGCCGCTTTTGACCACAGATATTCGAGGGACCATTTCGGCCGCTCCTCTACAACATGACCTCAGTTTGAAGATTTTGATTTTCTTCCCAGTCACCACCCGTTTCGTCGCACCTCTTCTTTCTCGTATATCTTCAAATATCCCTTGACGCCCTCGTCGACTTCTTGCCCATCTTTTTGTTCATAAAACCCGTCGAGAAACTTGGACATGAGCCAATAGGGAGGGCTTTGCATCTCAGCAAGCAACATGTGCGTTCATTCGAGGTCGATGATGGACATAACGCTCCACTCTTCGTCGACGAAAATGTTACCCTGAATGAGGTCGTTGAAGATCATGTAGAATGGTCCCTGTCGCGTGTCTGGGTCAACAAGTGGTGCATGACGGCGCGCATCCCCGCGCAGGCAGCGAGCTGACGCTGCCCGTCCTCAACATCGAAGATGGCGTTTGGCTGGCCGCGCAGTTTCGCGTCCTGCAGCGAGAGCAGGTCCGATCGGTAGCCGTCAACCTCTGCGTAAACCCGCCCGCGAGGTATTCCTGACGGGACGCCCTCGTTTTCCAGCATGTGCAAGTACAAATTCAGCGGCTTGTTGTCCAGAGCAATTGTGTCGTCATTTTGGAGGCGCCACGTCCCGAGCCGTGGTTGCGGTATTGCGGTCATCGATACAGTGATGCGCGACAGGCTCCGATAGAGGTTTTCTGGGCGGTTCTCATCGTGGCGGTGCTTGGGCTAAGAGGACATGAGGCTTTTGCCTTGAGTTCGCTGATGAGGAGAAACCCGGAGGGCAGGGCATGGCGGATGGATTGGCGCGCATAACGTATTGGAGTGGCACGGCCAAAAGGAAGGCCAAGACGCGGCTGAGCTGTAACCAGACTCTGCGCCACCAGGCAATATTTTGGGGGCACGTATATTATACAATAAGTTGCAACAGAGAACATGCAGAAGAAATATTCCCTCTTTGATATATATGAACGGATTTGGCTTCACTCACTACATGCGTCGACAATCATGTCGACGGGGACAAACGTAAATAATAGTGAAGTAAGCATCCCTAGCTTTCATTCAGGTCCCTAAACTAGTACCCCTTTGCTGTGGAAAACGGGTGCGGCGCAGAGTGGCTGAGTTTACCTGGCGACCCCGTGGTTCCCCCTTGGTATCACTCCTTCCTACCAACAATACATAGCAGTGTTGGACCCTGCCGCCACAACAGTACTAGGAAAACCCTAGCAGCCTCTTTACTGAACTTTAACGCTACCTATCTATTATGTGCTTCTTTGATCAAAAGGTCTGGGCCCGCGGCTTCTGGAAATTGGTTACATTCCGGAAACAATGCACAAAAGAGCGCAGGATCGGCTACACGTGAGGGCTGAAGTTGGTCTCCGAGGTTATCCACGAAGCCGATACATGCAGCTTGTGCGCGACTATCGCTCTAAAACGACGTCGGCTAGTGAAAATGGCCGCCGATATGTCTAGATGGCAACAAGAAGGACGATAGCCGGCGACCGTCGAAAAAACAAAGCGCATGATGAGTTTAGAGGGCGCTATTACCGCTCTTCCGGGGAGGCATGCGCTTTGGCATTTGCTTTCCAGGATGCACGCCGTGAGAAGCGGATAACACATTCAAATGTTATGCCACCGTATTGAGTGGCTTTTCGCCGTAAGTTCAACAGCGCCATGATATCTAATGGTGTGCTAATGGATTACAGCCTTGAGGTCTATCTTGGACTAGAACTGTTGGCGACCTTCGACGAAACTAGCAGTGACGAGGAGCCAACGTGCCAGTCCGTTTAGACCATGTCTTCGGTGATGCCTGGAGTAAATGCACCAAATGTCGTATTTTTATTTTTATTATTTTTCAGCTTTCAAAAAAGTCCGCCACGGACAAATCCCAGATTCTCCTCGACCCATTGCCCTCTGCGCAGCAGTTTTAAAACAGCCTGAAAACTGGCTAGCTAGTAGCTATCTTTCGATCACTCCCCAATTTCAATCACCGAGTAGGGGCAGCCCAACTGCGCTGAGGAATCGCACCAGGTTGTCACTCATCTGCGAAGACGCAGAACAGAGGTAGGGCGGGTGACCGGAGGAGCGAGCTAAGGAGAGAAACAGCACCGTGAGGGTGCAAAGCTCACGATGGTGGCGTCTGGCCATATTCTGTTTCTCTTGCATCGATATCGACCTTGCT